GAGTGAACTCAGTGGGTCAAGGGGGAGTCAGGATGGACAGGTGGACCGAGTCAAACCGGACTCGCCGAGTTGTTCTTGAGACTCGGCGAGTTGAGTCGTGGTGGCCCCACAACTCGTGCCAGGTGGAGCTCGTCGAGTTGGGAGGGGATGCTCGACGTGTCAAGAGAGGATTCCAGGGAAATTGGTGAATGCGCTCAGACTCGCCGAGTCGCTATAGTGCACTCGCCGAGTCCGGTCAAGTTGACCGTTGACCAGCGTTGACCTAGATTGTCCTGTTATGGTATGGTCAACCCTAGTTGGGAAAGTGTTAATTAGAGATATATTGTGCTATAGGGGGACTTCAGCTCGGCAGATCGAGTGTTTAGCGATTTCAGGGTTACGGTTTACCGAGACACACGAGGTGAGTCTTCTCACTATACTTTACCTTGAGTAGGTAACCAGAGTTATGTGATAGAGTATTTGTATGCTATGTATGTTATGTGTTGTACTGCATTACTTTTATGTGTTTGATGCTGTGCATGTTTACAGAGTTAGAACCGGAAGGTTCACAGAGTTAGAACCTGAGGGTTCACAGAGTTTGGGTGCACGGACCCACAGAGTTATAGCCTCGAGTGGCTAATATGTGTTATATGCAGTATTTTGGGAAACTCACTAAGCCTTGTGCTTACAGTGTTGATGTTATTTGTTTCAGGTACTAGTGACGACCGTGGGAAGGCGCCGGCTTGATCCGTACACACACGTTTGGAGCTTGACATTTTGATCTTGGGATTTTGTACTATTTTGTTGAACAATTAAAAAGGGTTATTTCTATGAATATTGATGGAGTTATGTTATATAAAAATCGAAAATTTTGTTTGAAATATTAGTGTTACAACCGGGGTTCTCTAGGGTGAGAAACCTAGTCTTCTAATTCTATTTATGTGTAGTTCGCTAAGTTGTTTGTACTGTTCTGGTATCTCTATAGGTGTTTAAACTATATGGTGACCTGTTTACGGGAGTCGTACTGGGTTCTAAGTTTGTTCACATGACGATGTGATTACTCGTAGGCTTAAGCAGTTCTTCGTCCTGAAGTTCATATTAGAATTCATACATGGTTTCACAATCACAATTTCGGGTATACGAGTCGCATATGATTAAGGCTGAAAAGGTAGTCGAATAATTGATTCTTCTTTAAGCTCACATCCCATCGAGGAAAAAGAAGTTAAAGTGGAATCATCAATTCTAAACCTGTAGAAGCTTGATTATATATCGCTCCTATATATACCTTCCTTAGTGATAGATCAATCGCATGAATGCTTGGATTAAACTTGACGCATTGCACGAGTGGTACCTCGGGGATTTCTTCGGAAAGAAAATAACTAAGAGGTACTTCTGGCATGAGTACTTCGGTGTTCTGATATGACGGATTCGCTGGGAAAATTATCTAGAAGAAAGAGATGTACGTATGAAGCTGTTTTTGTGAGGATCAAATTGAATCGAGTTGTATGATAATGTCGGAATCATACTGAAACTTAAAGACATTAGATTTGAACATAAGACGTTTACAGACAAAACACAACCGTGCAACCATGAACAGAGTTACAATATCATTTATTGACTTATCTATCTACACCAAACCCATTGAAGCTATTAATGAATTGTTGCAGTTTTTTGTTAATTTTTGTATAAAATAAACTGATGGGTGATGAGTCTTTGCTTCTGTTTGTCTAATTTTTTATTTTTATTGAGTGATATGTTCCTCCATTTTGATTTTTATAGATACAATCATCGGAAAGATGAAAACCATTGATTATTTGGTGTATTTTTGGTTAATAAACTGTTGCAGGTTTTTGTAAGTTGTTTTTCTCTGTGTTTTTGGTGTTTTTTTTTTTTTTTTTTTTTTTTTTTTTGTATGTCTGTAAGAACGGTAAGTTTAGTTTATAACACATTCGGCCTCCCAAATTAATTGTTCAAGCTCCGCCACTGTTTATGGAGATAACGGGTTATGTTTGGCTTAAGGTGCTTAGGCATTTTATTGGCCATTTCATTGTTAAAATCCTTACACTCCACTCATACCTATAGTTTGTAAATTGGTTTCATAACACTAAAAGCTGGAAATAGGAATTAAAAAAAAGTTAATCAATGATAAAAAAAAATTGTTGTTTTGAGTTGTAGTGTTCTAATATTTTTTGTGTTTTAATGTTACTGATATAAATAGAGGTTACTACATAATCCTTCCTAATAAATAATTTTTTTTTTGTCATATAACATGCTCTCATTCATTTTGGCAAAAGTCAATTTCTAGTAATTTACAATTAAATTATTTCCACTTGTTAGTATATAAGACAATGCCACCTAATAAAAACGTATATGATCTAAATTAAGTAAATTAAATAAATCTAGAAATTCAACCAACTTTTTTTAAACATATATTAGGAAAATCTTCAATCAAATCTTGAATTCAATTATGATCCTCCAACAATCAAGCATAAATTATAGTGTTTCTTTACAAATTTAAGCTTGATTTCATGAATCATTTATATTTCAAAACCTTTATTTGATTTGTTTCACAACTTTTACTTTATTTTTTTCAAATCTGTCAATGAAATATTTTTGTTTCTATATAAAAGAAATTATGTTCAAATTGGAGATTTATATTCAAAGAAGTATTTGGAAATTGATGATTTTTATAAATTATTTAGAATATTTCATTAATGGTTTTTTTTTTATTCAATTACATACTTATTCAATAAAGTCTTTAGTTGTATGTATTGTATTATTTTAATAATCGGTTGATGTTCAAAATTTTATATTAGTTTTTTTAACAAACCTTGTAATACACAAGTTTTATACCTAGTTTAAAAATAAACGAGAAGTCAAAATATGGTTCTATTTTTGATAAGTGAATAATAAAATATTGTATTATAAACAAGAAGAAACCCAATTGACATCTAAGAAATTACTTCGTTTGAATGGATAAAAATATTTCTGAATTAAAATTGAAAAGTGAAAATTACTTCGTTTAAATGGATAAAAATATTTCTGAGTTAAAATAAAAAGTGAAAATAGATGTCCACAATTTTTTTTTTCCGTAAATAAGTGTTTTCTAAATGACCTTTACTATTACAGTACTAGTTGTGAGATCCGTATGATATACGGGTTGAATAAAACAAAAACTAAATATAAAGGTTTAAATAAAAATTTATTTAAATTTGAAATTTAAAATTTAAAATTTGAATTTAAAAGGAAACATATTAAATACTATATGAGTTGTAGTATTGTAATTTACTGACCAATTTTTCAATTAAGGTAATTATTAATTAAGGAGTAAATGTGATGTGTTAATTAAGAAAAAAATTAAAAAAGATAAGAAAATGACAAATGTAAAATACATTTATTCGAAAATATCAAAAAATTACATGTGTCAAAGTTAATAAGAGAATGACATGTGGCAAAATTATTTTCATTTATTAAGGAGGATACTAGTATATAGCTTGCTTTTCATGGGCCAGGAGCTTGCATAACCAGCCCATGTCATGCTGTTTGTGGGCCGGGTGGCTAGCTGAGCTCTGCCATCAAATTTACACGAAAAACACTGAATTCTGACTAAGTGCACCGGTGAGTCGGTGACTGTGAAATAGAAGCTGCCAAAGAGGAATCAACACTAAAAGCCCCAAATTTAAGCATACCGTTGAAAATATTAATAGCAAGTCTCTCGTCGAAAATTCGGTATTATCTCTCTCAAATTTTATGTTTTTTTTTAGAATTAGAGGTCGTCTTCCAAAATCCATGAAGAATAACTTATGTTCATCGGTTAATTGATGCTATGAGAGACTCTTAGTTTGATTTATTGTTATATATTCCACTCTACAGCGCTTATGGATCTCATGATCATGTTCATTTAGCTTTAAGAGAATGTATCTAATCTAGCTGTTTTTCTGGACGCCTCTCTTAGATTTTAAGATCAGATCAGGTAAATCTGTCTAGAGCATTTCTTCTTACTCTACCATGGCAACCAGCTACACAATTCATTAAAAGTCTTGTTGTTCTCATTACATTGTCGAACCAACATTTTGTTCTTTTTACATATTTAGTCAAACATTTCATTCTTTTATATGAAGTACATCACATTATGGGATGTTCATATTGTGCAAGGACAATGATATGACTAAACATCTTTTATGGTTCCATGTTCTGAACTATTCATTCGTTTATATATAACAATTAAAGGTGTACTAGTGCTGTTGGCTCTTTTATATTGTTTTGTGTGTGAAAAGAAAAAAATTAATTTCTTTAACTTAATACCAATGCTAGGGAGGTGTAGAAACTGTGGTCGTCTATTCTTTAATTTTAAAGATGTTCAACTTTTTAGCATAGACTGGTTAATAAAAAGAATTCATTCAATTATTTGACAAAATATATAAATTGCAAGTTTGTTAGTGCTACCCTCTTGTTTTAGAGTCACTCCTAGTGTAGCACTTTTTACAAAAAAAATTGTTATTTTTAACCATGTAGGAGACCATGGATTATAGTTGAAAAGGACCAACTTGGCTTGTTTCTAACAAGTTTACCACTTAGTTAATTTAAGTGAGATAAGTTCATTTCATAGTCATTAAATTCTTGGACCCAAATGATATCATATCACTAGACTCACTGATATCTACTATATTTGATTCCATCAGCTCATTTTTAGGGGTTCGTTTCATATAACTAGAGGATCGAAACTATCATAAGATGGGAAAAGATATAATTCATAAATACAAATTTCCAAGACTTGTAATCTAATTTGGGCAATCTGTTTTTCCATTCATCTTTAATTTGTCTTACATTTTCATTGAAATTTCATAGAAATTACGTATCCTAGGACCCACACAAATAGGACACCAGTTTGAGGCTATTCATTCGAATCTTTCGTCTTCACAGTTGAGACTATATAAACCCTCATGAGGGGCAGTTTGAATATGCATCCCTACCAAAAAAATTAAAAAAAAAAAAAAATCACAAAGATTTGCATTAACATAATGAATCCTTGTGTTTTTGTAATTTTCTCACTTCTCTTGCTAGATCTTGAAACTACAACTTCCAACCAATTGGGAGGAGGAGATGAAAATGGTGTTATTATGAGAAAGTGTTCTGATATGGAGAGACGTGCTCTCCTTGATTTCAAAGCTCGCCTCCAAGACCCTGATGAAACTCTTTCTACATGGAGAGCTGAAGAAGAAGAATGTTGTAACTGGAGTGGAGTCACGTGCAACAACCAAACTGGTCGTGTCATTGAGCTAAATATTAGCTCCGGTGGCCTTGAAGGTGAGATAAGCAATTATTTGCTTAACTTAAGCTATCTGACTCATCTTGATCTCTTCTCTAATTCTTTTCATGGAATTATTCCCACGTTCATTGGTTCCATGACTCGTTTAAGGTACCTTCACCTTGGTTCGAATCATTTGAATGGAACCATTCCCAGGTCTATTGGTTGTTTGACAGAATTAAGGGAGCTTTACCTTTCTGATAACTCTCTTTATGGAATCATCCCTCTAGAGTTTGGAAACCTCACAAACTTGCAAGTGCTTAATCTTGGATCCCTTGGAAAGTGTAGAGCTGGGAACCTAGAGTGGTTATCTCATCTTTCTCATTTAGTGGCACTTGAAATGGCTGGGATTTCTCTAGCCAAACAAAATTATTGGGTGGATGTGATTGTGAGTCTCCGGAAACTATCTTTTTTAAGCATAGGGGGATGTGAACTCTCACAGGTCATGTATCCATATTCTTCTTCATTTCTCAACTCCTCTTCATCTATTCAATCCCTTTATCTTGGAAACAATAGTCTCAACTCATCCATGTATCGTTGGTTGTTCCCATTAACCAGCAGTAAGCTTCGTTGTCTTGATATTTCTAGAAACATGTTAGATGGGATACCCAAATATCTTGGTAACCTCTGTAATTTGGAACGTTTGTATTTCTATAACAACTTCGCTGTTGTCAAATTTCCTGATTTTCTCAACAACTTGTCTGGATGCACATCTCTCACATTACAAGGGTTGTATGTTGGACATAACCGATTGATAGGGACACTCTCCAATGAGACCTTAAGATTTAAAAATCTTTCCATTCTTGGTATGAAATCTTGCAATCTAGGGCCTCACTTCCCCAGATGGATTCAAACTCTGAAAAATATTTCATATCTTGATATTGCCAATAATAGAATTTCAGACACAATTCCTCTAGGGTTTTGGGACATGTGGCCTTCTCAATTAACATATCTGAATCTCTCTTCCAACAACATCAGCGGGAAAGCACCAGATTTGTCATCAAAGAGTGGCTACATTTCAATGATAGATTTGAGTTCCAACAGATTTTATGGCCCAATAACTAATGTCTCTTCCACTCTGACATCACTACATCTTTCTAGAAACAAATTCTATGGTGGAATCTCCTTCTTATGCCAAATTAACCAGGGGTTTTTAGTTATTCTTGACCTCTCCCATAATTTTCTAAGCGGACAAATTCCAGACTGTTTGTGGCATTTCAAAGAACTAAAAATTCTTAATCTAGAGCACAACAATCTATCTGGAAGGCTTCCTACCTCTGTTGGATCTTTGATTAAACTTGAGTCATTGGATCTATACAAGAACAATTTCTCTGGAGAATTGCCTGTGTCTTTAAAGAGTTGCACGAGCTTAAACTCATTGAATTTGGGGGCCAACAAGTTTTGTGGTAATGTGCCTCTTTGGATTGGGGAGAACTTACTGAAATTGTATGTTCTTATCCTAAGATCAAACAACTTCTTCAGAACCATCCCTTTACAATTATGTCAACTTGAAGGTATTCGAATTCTAGACTTGTCAGTGAACAATCTCCATGGAACAATCCCCTTGTGTTTGGGTAATCTTACAAGCATGATTCAAGAAGGATTTCTACCTACACATAACGTGCATTCCTATTCAGTTAAATTTTTTTATTCTGGAGGTTATCTCTATGATGAACGTGATGATAAGTATATTGACCATGCAGTGATTGAGTGGAAAGGATATGAACGTGAATTCATTAAAAATCTGGGGTTGTTGAAGAGCATTGACTTGTCAAGCAACAACTTAACAGGACAAATCCCATATGAAGTTACCAAGCTCTATGGACTGCGTGCACTCAACTTGTCACAGAATGGTCTACATGGAGAGATTCCGGAAAAAATTGGTCAACTGAAACAACTTGAAACATTGGATTTATCTAGAAACAACTTGTCTGGAGAGATGCCATTAAGCATGTCTAGTATGAATTTTTTAAATCAGCTAGATGTGTCATATAATAGCTTGTCAGGGAGAATTCCATCCAGCACTCAACTGCAGTCTATTGATCCTTCAAGATACATTGGAAACCCGAGACTATGTGGACCTCCCCTTACTAAAAAATGTCATGGAGATGATGAATCAAAAGTACCACATGTCATTGGTGAGAGTGAGGATGGTGGGGAAGACACGGATGAATTTTGGGGGTGGTTCTATATTGGTGGAGGCACTGGTTTTGCTACTGGATTCTGGATTGCATGTGGTGCTCTACTTCTCAATCGTCGTGGGAGACATGCTTTTTTTCATTTTTATGATAGATGCAAAGATTTGGTTTATGTGAAGGTGATGGTGTTCTTTGCAAATCTGCAAAGGGTTGAACATAGATAGTCTTGTAAAATTATGCTTCACTTCTATTTGACATGGTTTTAACTTTTAAGTCCCTAATATCAATAAAATTACCACCAAAACCATGGGTGGCCTTTCTCCATTTGTGTCAACTAAGGCAACCTGAAAACTTTATATTTTAAATCTATTTAATTTATGTTGTATATTTTTAATGAACAGTTTTATAGGACAAATCTCAATGTAGGTTATCTGTGGAAGTGATACTGAAAAATGGTCCATCCATATACACTTGTTACTCACATGCTTTAACTTGTGGTTAACTTACAAAATATTGGCTAAACTGGACTAATAGATCGATAAACAAATAACATGAACTCTAAATTTGGGATTTTCAGTATAGACTTTCTATGAAAGCAAGATTTGGTTATATACTAGAATAATTATGTCTTTTTGATTGAATTTAATTGGCATACATTCGGTTTAATATAGAACTCCTCAAATCAGAGTATATTTCATACATATTATGAGGTTAAGATGTCTTTCTATGTATTTTCTCAAATTACACTTTGTGTTATAAGGTAAGAATGTTTATTGGAAAAATATATCCAAATTCCAAGTAACAATTAGATATCTGATTAGATAGCCATCATTCTAGTTATAATACCTCCCAAAAAAGTTTATTTTTTATTTTTTATTTATTTTATTGCATTTTTTATATGATACAAGTTTTTAATTTACAAAATAATAACAAACAATAATCTTAAAATGTTTGAATTTACTATTTAATCCATCATAGCCAATATTTTAAAAAATTGGATTGGTCATCTTAGTGGTTCCATGGTCAAACAGTCGGACCGGTCCAAAAACCCGGATGACATCATTATTATATATAATTAAATATAAAATTATAAAAAAAATACAAAATATAAAAATAACCTTCTTGCAGCCGGTGGATGAAACTTTCACAAAAAAAAAAAAAAAAAAAAAAAAAAAAAAACTCCAGATATTGTTTTATAAGAAGAGTCATCTTTACATATTTCTATATAATGTGATTAGTGTAGTTATAAAAAAAAACATGTGAAGAGAGATCAAAGGGCATGAGATTTGTTTCAGTCTTGGTCGCTGTGATTGTTAAACGACTTCTCTCCCTCAAAAGGGAAATGTCCAAATGGTGTGGTTAAACCCATAGAAGAAAAACAGCAAACAAAAAAAATACAATGGTATGGATAAGCTCAGGCCCACCTCAAATTTTCAATTTTTTTATTTTATTTGCTTTTATAAAGGGAAAATGATTTAAAAGCTCAACGAAGTTTTCAAACCGTTTAAAAAACCTCAATCATGTTTTGTCTGTTCAAAAAAACCCAACAAACTTAACATTTTATCTAAAAAGTCCCACTAAGTTACACTTTCTCGAAAGTCAAATAAAAGAAACAGATGACGTGGCTTATTACCGTATCGGAAAAATGACTTGTTAGACCAACGAAGTTTTCAAACCGTTTAAAAAACCTCAATCATGTTTTGTCTGTTCAAAAAAACCCAACAAACTGAACATTTTATCTAAAAAGCCCCACTAAGTTACACTTTCTCGAAAGTCAAATAAGAGAAACAGATGACGTGACTTATTACCGTATCGGAAAAATGACTTGTTAGACCAACGAAGTTTCCAAAACGTTTAAAAAACTCCAATCATGTTTTGACTGTTCAAAAAAAACTCAACGAACTTAAACATAACAAAATTGGAATGTTCTGAACGGTTTAAAACTTTGTTGGACTTTTTAGATAAAAGGTCAAGTTTGTTGGGTTTTTTTGAACAAACAAAACATGATTGGGGTTTTTTGAATGGTTTGAAAACTTCGTTGAGCTTTTAAATCATTTTCCCTTTTATAAATAAGAAACCATTTGCAATTTATTTAAAAAAAAAACATTTGCGAGTAACCATGTGTATTTATTATTTAAAATAGTTTTGTCGGCGTCCACTCAGTCGAAAATGCCAAGGCACTGATGTGGCACGCCTACCTGTACTTTACCTTCTAAAAACTCAAAATGGAAAAAAGTGTGCAAAATTAAGACATTGAACATAAATTTCAATTTAAGGTAAAACCGTCCATATCTACAAAACTTAAAAGCTTTTATGAAAAAACTTTGGTTCAACGAATAATATTAAGAAAATTAATAGGCAAAAAATTGTCGAAATATGAATTTGTACAGTACCTTTTTATACAGAAAATCCTTAATGTTTGGAATTTACTCAATTACAAAAGCAATAAAAAGAACATTACTTCAAGAAATGTCGTATACATATAAACCACTAAATCAGATAATTAAGAAACAAACCCCTAATATTTAAATAAAATCTAAAGCAATACCAAAAAAAAAATCAGATAATTAATGTTTGGAATTTACTCAATTACAAAAGCAATAAAAAGAACATTACTTCAAGAAATGTCGTATACATATAAACCACTAAATCAGATAATTAAGAAACAAACCCCTAATATTTAAATAAAATCTAAAGCAATACCAAAAAAAAAACCCGATGGACATCTTAACAATTAATCCATGTTTTGAAAACCGAACCGGCTGGTTCGACCGGTTTAACCGGGAACTGGTCCCGGATCCGGTTCTTAAAGGCCAAAACTGGTATTCGTGTGAACCGGTGAAAACCGGTAAAAAACCGGTCGAACCATTAAAAACCGGTCCGGTAAAACCGGAAATTTTAAAAAAATATTTATTTTTTTTCATTTTTTGTATTTTTTATATAATTAAATATAATTGTGACATCATCCAATTTTTCCGTTTTTTGAGACTGGTCTGACTAGTTGGACCACTTGAACCGTCGAACCAGTAAGACGACTGGTTCGGTCTCCGATCCGGTTTTCAAAACCTTGCAATTAATGATTTAATTCGTTTGAAATGATACAAATATTTTTTAATCAAAATGAATATAGAAAATAGATATACATAGATTTTGTTCCATGAAAAAATGTTTTATACTAGTACTAGTTAATAACCCATAAGAACCACTTTTACAAAATTAATTAAATTTTCATAGTAAAAACTCAAAGTTATTAATAAGTTATTTTAAATAAATTATTAATTAAGAGATATTTTTTTAATTATATAAAATTATAATCATTAATTTAAATAAATACGTGACTTTATAATATATATATATATATATATATATATATATATATATATATATATATATATATATATATATAATAATTTTATCTTAATTTTTATTTTAATGTTATTAATTTAATATAATTAAAAAATTTAAAATTTGAATGAAAAATCGATATATTGATAAATGACATGATATAACTAGATGAGTAGCCTTGCTTTGCGGGGATGGATTTGGACAGCTTCGATCATTTTGGCCACTTCGCACCCCTCCTATTTTCCATGAAAACTTTGTCTGTTGTCTCTATCTTTGAAGTAGTTTGGTACACACCCTGCACATGTATTCCTGCATAAAAAATCACACCAAATAATATGTTCGGTTTGTGAAACGGCTTGATCACTACGTAAACATAAATCTGTTGTTATTGTTCCTTTGTTCTCGTTTTTTATTTTTACAAAACATTTTTTGTCCCCTGCTTCCATTACGTAAAAATAAGATAACAATACTAATGCAAATCTTAAAACACACCTGAAAAACTAATTACTTCATTTCATGTTGTTTCCCCTTCTTCAAACCATTTCTATGACATTAGGAATCAACCTTAACAGTAACAGTAAAATGCATAAAAATTCCAGAAACTGTATTTCTTACATATGATTATAAATTATAAACGATAACAATCACTATTCACCATACATGAATCATTAGAAATGAAGAATAATAAAGCTACCTGCTTTCAACATAACTGTTTGTTGACATTTCCTCAAATCTGTAATCAAAGAAAAAAGAGTATTATAATTTATACACATTCTAAAAAAATTATAGTTGATAATTGACTATATCACCCCATTTGAAGGAAGCATTGAACCTTGTGGATCCGAAATTGTATAAGATAATATCCTAATTTCTAAAGTAACATGTTAATAGCGTCCTACTTTTAAAGTAAATGCATGATATAGAGAAAATACATACAAAATAATGTTTTATGTCAAAAGTACATTTATTTTCGTAATCAAATGTGCATTGCGTGTTGTAAGCAAATTTCATTCTTTCAGTCATTAGATTTATGTCAAAAGTACACTATGGTGAATCCATAAACAAAATACTATATGTTATAATTACCATCGTTTATCTCTGAAATGGATTCTACTCTCAATATCGGTGGCCCATTTAAATCCTTAGTGTTATGTGGGATTGCTTCTACTCCTATATCACCACTTAAAAACACCTACTTTAACATTAGTAACACTACACCAGTTCCTTCAACGTATCCTTAACTTTTTCCAGTCCTCTAAATCATCAAATGTTACTCCAATGTCACTGGGAAGAATCACATATGCTACAAGCCTTTTCTCAAACTCCTTTTCCATTACAACATCCTATCATTATTATTATTATTATACAAATCAAAACTGTCAGCAAATTTCATATAAACTCCAAATCTTTTAAACAATAAGGTAAGAATAACATCACCTTGAAAGATTTCTTCAAGCTCTTGGATTCATTGTGAACCGCTTGCAGATGTTCAATACCGTATTGTATGCTGCCAAATTAATGGCATAAATTGACCCCCTACAAAAACCGATAACAAATGAGAAAGAATTGCAAACACACTCATACACAGGAGACCACTTTTGCCAACTCCTTAGGAATTTAATTCTTACCTACCTCATTCTATCTTCTAATTACTATATATACTATTACTAAAGAAAAGGAGAAAAGGGAATAACAGCTTAGCGAGGTGATATCCCCACTACTTTGAATCACTACTACCTCTAACCTGCAAAATAAATAAAAGACCAAACAACCCTCCATACACCCATTCTGGAAGTAGGCTGCAGAAGATTAGACTTTGGGCCCCTTATACAATAAACTAAGAGTCCATGGGGCTTATCAGTCCACCATAGAAGATCCAATTTATAATTACACAAAAAGTTTAATTCTTTGTACTTTTCAAATCTTTTCTTGTTAAATCAATATATTATCGAAAATCTATCCAGTTATAATTATTAATTGGTGATTTTTCAAATTAGAATGTTGTATTAAGAAAATCTGAAAGTGAAATGCTAAATAAACAAATTAATGAAAGTGAATTACCTTATTGTCATCAGATAAGCCATAATTTGAAGCTTCTCCTTCACTTATAGCCAACTCTTTTACCCCATCATATAATATCTTTTTAAAACATGAGAAAATTCACATCAACACAATAGCCAAAACATTTTCAAATTTCAACATTACAAAGATTCAAGCAATTTTTAAACTTTGAAGCGTGTACCTAAACACACCCTTTCAAGTATTGCTTACTTCTATTGTCTGATAGAAAATTTGTATTGATAACTGAGGTGTAGGTCTGAAGCTCTTTCTCATCAAAGTTGGTTTGACCTTTGAAACAATAGTTTTATCTACCAAAAAAGTTTCTCCATTCTTTAAATAGAAAATTTAAGATAAAGATTATTGCATAATGATATGCTACGTGCTTGAAAATAGTAGAGACGTCCTTGGCTCTCCCACATGTAAGCATTGTTATGTTCAATCAAAGTGCAATTTCAACTCTCATCTAATATCCATGCATAAGCTGGGTGTAAGTGAGCCGAGCTACTCGTGAGCTACTCGGGATCGACTCGTTAAAAGCTCGACTCGAGATCGAATTAAACGAGCCTGAGCCGAGCTCGAGCCTAAATATGAGGCTCGTTTATTAAATGAGCTCGAGCCGAGCTTCAATTAATGGGCTCGCGAGCCTAAACGAGCTTAAACGAGCCTCTCTCTCTCTCTCTCTCTCTCTCTATATATATATATATATATATATATATATATATATACACACACACACACACACACACATACATACACACACACACACATAGAGGCTCGTTTAGGCTCGATTAGGCTCGCGAGCCCACTAAATTATTCATGAGCCGAACTCGAGCTTCATTTTAAGGCTCGAATCGAGCTCGAGCTTCCTCAAATTAAACGAGTCGAGCTTGAGCTTTGTCAGGCTCGGGCTCGGCTCGGCTCGTTTACACCCCTACATAAGCAAACAAATCTTTCTCCTGATTTTTAACACAAAATTAGCAACATACTTTTGGTTATTTGTATATTGTAGTAGCATTCTATATTCATACATGTAACTTAGCCTCCTTTTTAAACTTATGTATTTATTTCCGAGATATTTGGCCCAGAAGGTGTAGCAATCTTCCTGAAAGTGTCGATATTCCAGAATACACATGGCAAACCTGCAAATGCTAGATATAAATTGTTACATTCACATTGGCAAATTATTCAATGAAAGAAAATAAAGTGTTACACTTACAATAGCAAGATTTAGCCGGCTAAGACAATCTTCTCTTCATTATGTGGCATCCACTTCTCAGGTTTATACTGTGAGCGAGAAATATTAGAATAAAAAAACTTATAAAGTAAAAAGAAATCTATAACAAAAGGCAGACAACCGCTCAAGCATTTTAGCAAACAGATAGAGGGCAAAAAGTAAACACACAATACTGATGAAATAATAACCTAAGTTGGAGAAACAACAATCATAAAAGTAAAAATCTCATACCCTACCAATCGATAACTTAAGAAAAAATTGGAAGAATCAATTTGAAGAAATTATTTAACTATAGGGAAGAAAGGGGAATCAAGAACAGTTTTCAGAATATTAAGAAAGGGTACAATTGGTCGGGGTGCAGAAACAATATTACTTCTTCTAAGCTATCGGCTTTTGGAAAAATCCAAATTAAGCCTTCAATAAACCTCAAAATCGACGAATAGAAACAAAAATTCCAAAACTACCAATAGTAATCAAAAAGCAGAAGCCAACGCAAAGAAACACAAACAAAACAACTACATACAATAATCAAATCGACATAGGAAAACCCAAAAGAACCCTAAACCGAACCAAGCATACGACACAATAAAAACAAAAATTAAACAGCAAAAACCTTTAAAGAATGCGATGAAGAGCAGAGTAGTGGAAAAAAATGGTATGACAACACCCAATTTCGGAGAATGGGAAGAAAAATGTTGATCCAGAAGTCGAGCTGCCTACTGTTGTTCGTCTCTCTCACTGATAAGAAGGGTCTGAAAGTGAGAAACTGCTTTCTTAGACTGAAATTAGATGGAATTCGATAAGGATTGCGAATAATGAAAAGGGAAGAACATGCTAGCGGAAGAGGTGATCGGAGAAGAAACAGAGAAGAAGCCATTTTCAATATGTATAACTAAAATCACAATAAAGCCAAAATAGAAACCATACCTAGATGAAGGATCGGGTTGTCCCTGCCAAGAAATAGAGAAACGAAGTCGCTTAAAAGAAAACCGGAAATATGTCTGATCTGAATCGGAACAGCAGCATACTGTTCCTCCGGTTAGTCCGTTATAGTAAAACAAACAAAATCAAAAACCACTGTGTAATAGAGCAACAAAATCAAATCGGTATTGGTCTGCACCTAGGTCGATGTCGCGAGAGAGAAGGGAAGCAATTGGAGGCGGTGACGAGTTCGTTTGATGTTGAAGATCGATGAGTCTGATATTGAAGAGGTTATGAGGCGGTGGGTTTCTGGGATAATGGAATGAGGAAGAATCGAGATGAGGCGGTGGGTTAAACCGGATGAAGTGGGGGCGGTTAATGGAATAAAAACGGTGATAAGAGAGATGGTGGGAAGAATCAGGATGCGGTAACCATGGTATAGAGGAGAGTAATCGGACGAACAGTACCTGGTCAGGTACTGTTCCTAAGGATTGTCCAACTTTAATATATATATATATATATATATATATATATATATATATATTAGGGGACTAATACGGCGAAAAGAAAGAATAAATCTATTTTTTTTATTAGAGTAGAATGATATGTACGGCTTGCTTTCTATGGGCTAGGACGCTTGCTTAAACAGCACAGGTTATACAGTTTGTTGGCTGGGCGGCTATCTCTGCCACGAAAATCGTTGAATTCCGACTGCAGTACAGAGGCGTCGGAGACTGTGAAACAGAAGCAGAAGCAGTCAAAGGGGAATCAATACTAAAAGCTCCAAATTCAAGCGTATTGTTGATAATATTGATAGCAAGTCTCTCGTTGAAAATCCGGTACTATCTTTTTCAATTTTTTTTTTTTTTTTTTGTTTGTATAATTAGACTCCGCCTTCCGAAATATATGAAGAATAACTTATGCTAATTGGTTAATTGATGCTATGTGAGGCTCACAGCTTTATAGATCTCATGATCATGTTCAGTTAGCTTTTTTTTTGAACGGCGAGCAAATATTATTAGCACAAAGAGAAAAAAGAGACTTAAGCGAGCAGTTGAAGCCTGATTACAAGAGAAACACAACAGAGGACACATACACCACATATACCAATCAAGATTACCTGACTTAACCCTATTTTTATCCAATTAAACGTACAGATACTAATATCATGTTCAGTTAGCTATAGGAGAATGAATCTAATCTAGATGTTTTTCTTGATGTTACTCTTAGATTTTAAGATCAGATCCAATATTGAGATCAGATCCAGTTAATCTGTCTGGAGCATTTCTTTTCACTCTAGCAGGGCCACCAGCTACACAATTCGTTAAAAGTCTTGTTGTTATCATTACATTGTTGAATCAAAAATTTTTTCTTTTTACATTATTAGTCTAACACTTCAATCATTTATAAGAAGTACATTACATTATGGTTGCATGTTTCTGAACTATTCATTAATTTATATCTGTTTTATTGTTTTGTGTGTGAAAAGAAAAAATTAATTTGTTTAACTTAGTACCAATGCTAGGTCACAATCTTCTCCTTAATATTTAGAGATGTATTTTCCTTTTATAGTTCCTGATTTCATGTTGTACATTTGGTATATATTGCTTGTAACGTATTCTGAATGAATCAATTGAATTCATATACACAAAGCTCTCTGATTCTTCACATGGTATCAGAGCTAGAATCAGATCCTCCTTCTACAAAAACCTCTTCATCAAATACACCATTAATCTCCAGAACTTCCTCATCATCACCAGGAAGCATGTCCGACTCAAACTCTCTCACTATCAATTCTTCCATGAAGGATTTGATCATCGTTAATCTTCCACCAACCCTAAAACTCACCTCCTCCAATTACCTTTCTTGGAAAACTCAAGTAGAGGCCTATCTCTACGGTCTCGATTTATACAAATACATCGACGGGATATTCCCGTCTCCTAAACCTACCGTCGGCACCGATGGTGTTCTTGTACCCCACAAAGACTTTGCTCAATGGTTTCGTCAGGACCGATTGCTCTACGGAGCTATAGTTGGAAGCTTATCCCCTCAGATTGTTCCATTGATCACCAACGCATCTTCATCTCATGATGCCAGGGAAATTTTAGCCAAGACCTATGCCTCTCCAAGTCGCGGTCACATCAAACAGTTGAAACATCGACTTAAACAAACCTCAAAGACCCCTACCCAATCCATCACAGAGTATATGCAAGCCATAAAAATCATTGTTGATGAACTTGCCATCCTAGGTAAAAAGATGGACGAAGAAGATGTCATTGATACCATACTAGCTGGACTTGATCATGCATCTTACAAACCAATTCTGGATGCTGTTCATGCCCGTGACACCCAAATATCATTCAACGAACTTCATGAAAAGCTTATAAATCATGATTTGTCTCTGGCTCAACAGGTTACTCCTGGAAACATTCATCATCCTTCTTCTGTTTTCTACATGCAACACAAGGGAAACAACAAGTCGTGGACACCTCGACAAACAAATCACTCCGGAAACAATTTTGGAAACAATCCATCCCACTCACAACATGTTGCTGCTGGTATTCTCCCCACTCCATCTGCAGGTGCTAAACCATTTCTTGGAAAGTGTCAATGGTGTTTTCAGAAAGGGCATTCTCTTAAAAAATGTTCTGTCTTCCGAACAGCCCATCCACGTGTTATAATACCCTCCTTTAATCGAGGTTCACAGGGAAACAAAGCACAGGTGCACATGATGACTACAAACAATGGTTCCACAACCAATTGGCTTTTTGATAGTGGTGCCTCTCACCACGTCACCAATGACTTGAACAACTTATCTCTTCACACCCCATACGACGGCACTGAGGAACTTGTCATCGGTGATGGTACATGTCTCAACATCACTCATATCGGTTTCCTTGTTATTAAAACTCCCAACACACCTCTAATTCTTAAAAATGTCTTGTGTGTTCCTTCTTTATCTCGCAATATAATTTCAATATCTCGCTTATGTCTTGATAACAATTTTCTCATTCAATTCTATTCTTTTATATTTGTTATCAAGGATCGGAACTCCAACATTCCACTACTCAGGGGCACAACAACACAGGGAATATATGAACTACAATTTTCTAAACCATTTTCACCTTTGGTTTGTTCCATGCATCAGACCGATTCCATGACCTGGCACCATTGACACGGCCACCCGCATAATAAAGTTTTTAAGTTTTTATCATCCTTTGTCTCCTTCAAATCTAGTTCTATTGAAAATTGTAATTCGTGCCATATTAATAAAAGTCATCGTTTACCTTTCTCCACCTCTTCTTTATCTTCTAATGCTCCCTTGGATTTAATCTTTTCTGATGTTTGGAGTTCCCCTGTTACATCCTATGATCACTACAAGTACTACATCATATTTGTTGATCATTTCACCAAATACATTTGGCTTTATCCCTTACAAAGAAAACCAGATTCCTTAACAGTTTTTATTCGTTTTCAAAACATTGTTGAAAATTATTTTAATCGGAAAATCAAACAGTTTTTTTCCGACAATGGTGGTGAATACATTAAACTTTCTTCTCATCTATCTTCCTCAGGCATCTCTCACCTAACTTCTCCGCCACACACCCCGGAACGGTTATGCGGAACGTCGTCATCGTCATATTGTCGAAACCGGTCTTGCCCTATTATCACATGCACAACTACCGGTCACATTTTGGCCTTTTGCATTCACCACTGCTGCATATCTAATCAACTGCATGCCCACTCCCACCTTAAATCATTCCTCTCCTTATTTTCGTCTGTTCCAACGTCACCCCAACTATTCAAAACTTTGAAGCTTTGGGTGTGTATGTTACCCATGGCTCCGACCCTATTCTTCAAACAAATTAGATCCAAAATCCATTCCTTGTATTTTTGTTGGATACTCTTCCACTCAAAGTGCTTACCATGCTCTTGATCCCATCACTTCCAAACTCTACACTTCACGCCACGTAACCTTTGTAGAACATGAGTTTCCTTTCACTAAACTTACCAACTCCACACATTCTCCACCTGAACCTTTTGTATGGAATCCTCTCATACTTCTCTCACCTCAAATTTCAACTTCATCAAACATGCCCACCTCCCACCTCTCTCAAAATACCCCACCTGAGCCCACATATACATTGTTACCCTCCAACTCTCTAGACACACCTTATTTCAACACTCCAAACCCATTGTCACCCCCACCCACTCCTCCTTCTCCTCCACATCCACCACCCACTCCTCCACATCCAAACCCACCACCAAAACCCACCACCAGAGCTCAACCAAAGCCAAACACCCACTATCACAATTCAGATTTTATTTTATACACCAGCACTGTTTCCGTTCCACCTGACCCGCTCACCATTACTCATGCACTTAAACAACCATTATGGCGCCATGCCATGCAAGAGGAATTTGATGCATTAACACGTAATCAAACATGGTCACTAGTTCCTTCCAATCTTGCTCCTAACCTTGTTGGCTCCAAATGGGTCTTCCGAACTAAATATAAACCTGACAGGTCGGTTGATCGACTCAAAGCTCGCTTAGTTGCCAAAGGTTTCACCCAACGTCCTGGTATTGACTATCGTGAAACTTTTAGTCCCGTTCTTAAACCGGCTACCCTTCGTCTTGTGCTTTCCATAGCTGTCTCTCAACGTTGGTCCCTTCGCCATCTGGACATTAACAATGCATTTCTCCAAGGCACGTTAAACGAGGAGGTCTTCATGGCCCAACCTCCCGGTTTTGTCGATCCTTCCTTCCCGAATCATGTTTGCAAACTAAACAAAGCAATCTATGGTCTTCGTCAAGCATCTCGTGCATGGTACGATGCGCTAAAATCATACCTCATTTCTCTTGGTTTCAAATCTACAATTTCTGACCCCTCTTTATTCATTCTCACCACCGGACACTCTCCCATTTATGTCCTTGTTTACGTTGATGATATCATTGTTACCGGTCCATCCATAAACCATATTGATCGTTTCATTCATCTTCTCGCACACAAGTTTTCTTTAAAAGACCTCGGACCTCTCTCTTTCTTTCTCGGCGTTGAAGTTCTCCCCCACTCCCATGGTCTCTTTCTTTCTCAAAAGAAATACATAACTGACATCCTTCATAAAGCTAATATGAGTGATTGCAAGTCTGTTTCCACACCGATTTCTTGTTCCGATGTGCTCACTTTACATGGCAGTAACCCGCATCCTTCTCCATCAGAATATCGCACACTTGTGGGAGCTCTACAATACTTGTCTCTCACTAGACCAGACATTGCCTTCACTGTCAACAAATTATCTCAATTTATGCATGCTCCTACTTTTCAACATTGGACTGCCTTAAAGAGACTTCTCAGATTTTTACAAGGAACCTTACATAGAGGCCTTCTCCTACGCGTGACTCTCCATTACATTTACATGCATTTACAGATGCAGATTGGGCTGGTGACAAAGACGTTTACCGTAGTACCACTGGTTACATCGTTTATCTTGGTTCAAATCCTATATCATGGAGCTCAAAGAGAGAAAGTACCCTTGCACGTAGCACTACTGAGGCTGAATTCAGGGCCGTTGCTTCCACAACAACCGAGGTCCAATGGCTATCCTCTCTTCTGTTTGAACTCGGCTATACACAATCCATTACACCAACTATATACTGTGACAATCTAAGTGCTACAACATACTCGGCGAATCCCATTTTTCATTCTCGAATGAAACACTTAGCTTTAGATTTCCATTTTGTGAGAGAAAAAGTTCAATCTGGCACCCTACGAGTTACTCACATCTCTGGTTAGTTGACTTACTCCCCAAACCCGTGCTCCGACCACGTTTCAACCTACTTTCATCCAAGATTGGTCTCACTTCAGGTTCATCCATCTTGCGGGGGAATGTTAAGTCTCAACCCTTGAACCACACCCAAAACCCAACAGATCAACAACATTCAGGGACTAAATTGAAATAACTCCAATTATTTCAATCATAGTATTCTGGTTACAGGCTGTCACCAATCAGTAGGCATCACAATCTTCTCCTTAATATTTAGAGATGTATTTTCCTTTTATAGTTCCTGATTTCATGTTGTACATTTGGTATATATTGCTTGTAACGTATTCTGAATGAATCAATTGAATTCATATACACAAAGCTCTCTGATTCTTCACACTAGGGAGGTCTAGAAACTGTGGTCGTCCATTCTTTAATTTTGTAGTTAATAAAGATGTTAAACATTTTAGTATAGACTGATTAATAAAAAGAATTCATTCAATTGTTTTTCAAAATATATAAATTGCAAGTTTATTACCCTCTTGTTTTGGAGTCAACTACTAGTGTAGCACTTTTTCAAAAAAAATGTTATTTTTAACAATGTAGGAGATCATGGATCAAGGCTGAAATCGACCAACTTGGCTTGTTTCTAACAAGTTTAGGATTTAACTAATTTAAGTGACATAAGTTCTTTTCATGGTCATTAAATTCTTGGACCCAAATGATATCATATCACTGTTCTCACTGATATCTACTATATTTGATTCCATCAGTTCGTTTTTAGGGGCTCATTTCATATAACTAGAGGATCAAAAACTACCACAGCATGGGAAAATATACAATTCATAAATACAAATTTGTTGTCAAGACCTTATTGTAGGATATGATTTATTTCCTCCCAATTTCCTTGTTTACAGGACAAATTAGCTGTAACTAGCTGTGTGTTTTCTATATTTGTGTATAAATTGTACCTTCTTCCAGAGACTGAAAACATACTGAAAATCATTCTCGTATTGAATTCTCTGTTCTTCATGGTAT